CACTCTGATTGGATAGCGGGGAAGCCTGTCAGCTTATTGGCCCCGCTGGTCCCGCCCCGCAGCGCAGGGCAGCCTTTAACCTTTAGCCCCAGCGGACGCCAACCACTCAGATCGCTTCTTGTTGGTATGTGTAGCGGCAGTGGCCGCCGGCGGAGCAGTCTGAGCCCGACGATGAGGCCGGGGACAGGAGCCGAACGCGGAGGCCTCATGGTGAGTGAGATGGAGAGCCATCCTTCCTCGCAGGGTCCTGGGGACGGGGAGCGGAGATTGTCCGGCTCAAGCCTCTGCTCCAGTTCTTGGGTTTCTACTGACGGCTTCCTGAGGAGACGGCCCTCGGTAAGGGATCGGTGGGGCAAGGGGAAAGCGGCACAATGAAAAACGGAGTCAGAGAGACAGGAAGCTTTCTCCAAAAGGAGAAGAAGATAAACGTGGACGAAGGAAGAACTCGAGATGGTGGGATGTGTTCTGAGGGAGAGAAAAGAAGGGCAGGGATGCACAAAGGAAAGGATGTGGGACCCTGAAGTTCCCGGTGGGCTTGGCCTAGACAGAAGTGCAGTGAAGGTGCTGTGCCCTGGGCGGGCCCGATTTAGCAGAGAGGGAGGCAGAGACCTAATTTTGTAAGACTTTACAAGTGACTGCCAAAAGTGGTTTTCACTAATAGTGGCGGTGTTCTGCCGGGGAATTAGCAGGAAATAATGAATTACCTGGCTTTAAAACGTGAAACAATGGACACACGGGTAAAGAAAGTAGTCTTTTTAAAGAGCATTGATGTGATGGATGAATTAGTTGTTTGCATCTAGTGTCTACGAATAACAGAACCTCAGTCCTTGAAAATGTGTTTTTGACAGGAGTTTTACCTGTCATAGAGGTTATTTTAGGAAATAATTTATTAGAAGTGGAGTGTCCCTGGTACTCATACTGTTTGTGTATTATAAGGCCAGCTGTCATCTGAACTAATTTGGTAAATGTAGCATTTGAAACTTGAAAATCAGAAGCATGGTAAATTACAATGGCCAGTTGTTTTTTCTATGTAAAGTGGGACAAATTTGTGGTTTTTCAACATAACACTTTTTAAATTAGCATTCAGTGCGCACACGGTAAGCCTAAGCAATTAGTGGCTGATTAAATCCGTGCTTTAAAAAAAGGGGACAAAACTTATGATCCATCTGTTCACTAATGGTCTTAACTTTTTCCATTTTGTTAGGGAACTTGTAAGGTCATTTTATTTTTTTTTTTTATTAAATCATAGCTATGTACATTAATAGTATCATGGGGTACAGTGTTGTTTCTATATATTGCAAGCTCATTTTAAGTGATAGTATATTTCATTTTGTTTAAAACAAGGTGTAAACTAATCCAATAACACATTAATCACTAATTAGACTAATATTATGTTACTTACAGGTAACTGATTTGTTAAAATTATAATTTTGAGAAGCATTTAGTGTCACTTGCTAATCTTTGGACTTCCACTGTTTTTCAGATGGGGCATCCTGGAATGCATTATGCCCCAATGGGAATGCATCCTATGGGTCAGAGAGCGAATATGCCTCCTGTACCTCACGGAATGATGCCACAAATGATGCCTCCTATGGGAGGGCCACCAATGGGACAAGTAAGAATGTTTTTGTTTTATTTTGCATTTATTTTTCTATTTTGCCTTGGGTATTGTGTCAAAATTTCAAAATCTAGGTCAATACTTGTAACTGTTTAAGGATAAGTTTATGCCCAAATAATTTCAAGTAAGTTACATGTTGTGTTATGACTGTAACCAAATTTTGATTGTAATGAAAAAGGTCTTCTCTGTTTAAAAAATTTACTACTTCAACAAAACTAGTGGGGTTTTAAAATTTATTTTAAGAGGAATGTCAGTTAACATTAATGTTTTAAGAGTAAATACTATCAGCTATGGCAACATAACTTTTTTTGGTGGACCATGCAAATGCATAGGAATGTGAAAGTAATGATTGTTTGGGCTTTTGGCTTAGGATGAATTTTATGGCTGAAATATCTTTCTCTTTGTGTATGGTGGATAGGGGTGGGGAGTAACTGTTCTGCAATACTGATTCTTAATAAGACAGTACCAGATAGGTAGGTTGTTTTCTACTTACACTATTTTTTTTATTTTATTTTTTTTAATGCTTATTGCTTCTGCACTCCTGCTTATGAGCTGCCCCTTCCATCTCTAGCATAAATTTTAAATGATATTTTGTAAGAGAGATTTGAATCAAAAGCTTTTAATGCTGACTCAGTGACTTTGGTAGAACTGAGTTTCTAGAGAAATATCCAAGAAAGGTAATAAACAGGTTTAGTTACTGTGAATAATTTTGTGTGCTGTGTTAGGTTCTGTATCAAACAGATCCTTAGATGTCTGGGTTATTTCCATTTAAGTAGCTCTATAATCATCAAATTTAGGCTAACAAAATATTTTGGAAAGCCAATTTCATATGATCTTTTGCTAATTTTGTAGTATTTACTTTGATAACCATTTAAGCTTTGATAGTGTAAAGTTATTGGTGAGACTGCAGTGGAAAAGGAGCTTGCTATGTATCTCTCTCTTTTTAACCTTAAGAGTAGAAGGGCTTAATGTCAGTGGTTTTTCTTCTTTTTTAATTTGGAATATAGCCCTTGATTTTGTGTAAAAATCTATTCCAAGGCACCAGGCCCAAAAGATTCTGCCTGCACAAGTTCTTTAAATGAAGTCTTTTGTTCTGTTACTTTAGAATAACACAAATTTTAAAACTCCCTAGGTGATGGAGAAACAACTCTGATTCCTCTTCTGTTTCTTTCCATCTCTAAGCAGCAAGGAGCTCTTCTTGTTTTCTTGGTAGAGCTGCTCTAACTAGATAATGAGCTTTAAAAATATTTATTCTTTAAATGCTCTGGTTCTTATTTAAAATTAGTTTCTTTCCACAGAAAGATAAAATAAAACAATTTGCTACTGCCAGATGCTTCTCTCTTTTCTGGGGCCTTCTGTTTCCATTGGGCCAGTCAAGGTAAGTTTTGCAAGGGATTGACCTGCTTACCCTTGCTGTAATGGTGCTATTGCAGTACCAGAACCAAGATACCAGCTTGTCATTTCTAGTTTAAAAAAAAATGGCAGATTTTATTTTTTTTAAAGTACTTTTATGTATCTTATTGACATAAGCTGGTCACAGTTTGCTTTATGGCCCTTTCTCTTTAGCTATATCAGTGACCATCTTCCTGTTAAGGTTACTTGCTACTTGGTGCACATCCATTCCAACACTCTGAATTTTGCCTTGTGGTTTTCTTCTACTTTTTCCCTAGGCCAATAATATGCCATGTGCCTTTAAGTATACTTGATTATTGAGATGTTTAGAAGTCTTTCTCCCTGTGATGGCTCCTTCACATGATGTAATGGTGATGTTTTAGTAAGAGTCCAGCTCTGAAGGTCCTAAGACAATCTCAATTGTTTTTCTCAAAATTAGATAATCTGCCTTTTTCCCTTTAACAACTAACAATATGGGATGTAAACCTGGTCAAAGCTAATTCTCATTTTACATGGATAATTGGAATCTTCAAATAATTCAGAAACCTTATTATAGCTCTGTGAACATTCCCTCAAAAATAAAAGTTGCTAA